CAGTCCCCCCCCACTCTGGCCGGAGCACGCCAAGCAGCTCCCCATCTCTCCGTAAGCGGCTACAGCTCTTGCCCCCAAGCCGACCCCCGCCTGAGCCAGAACTAGGCACCATGGTGGAGAAGGGGTCAGATAGCTCCTCAGAGAAGGGTGGGGTGCCTGGGACACCGAGCACCCAGAGCCTGGGCAGCCGGAACTTCATTCGCAATAGCAAGGTTGGTGCAGGCCCAGGCCAGGTGGGGAGAGGGGTGGGAGGTGGGGAATCCAGGGGCTTGTTCTGATTCCACTCCTTTCTCTTGCAGAAGATGCAGAGCTGGTACAGTGTAAGTGTTGGGCAGAGGGACTTGCTGGAGGGGGTGGGGAGGGAGGGAGGAGACAGCAGTCAAGAAGTGGGAGCTGGGGTCAGCAGACCTGGGGTCATACCTCTGTTGCTACTTATGTGCTGTGTGACCTTGAGTGAATTGCTTAACCTCTCTGGGCCTCTCTCCTTGTGAAACAGTCCCAATCTTCCAAGGCTGAAGGTCACTATGAGTCGATGATGGTGGGTATGTGACATAGAGCCTGGCTTATGTGGAAATCAGTAGATGGGAGCTCTCATCATGGTTACTCTCATGTTACTGGCAGTGGAAGCCAGCGTGAGCTAGACTTGAAGCCTCGGAGAGCCTGTCTGGGACAGCGGAGACTGAGGGGCTTCTGGGAGAACAGTGGGGCAGAATTGAGAGTATGAACCCCATCTGGATTCACACCTCCCAAACTTTCCCCAGATGCTGAGCCCCACGTATAAACAGCGGAATGAGGACTTCCGGAAACTGTTCAGCAAACTCCCTGAAGCCGAACGCCTCATTGTAGGTGAGGCCTGATGCCCACCTAGTTTTGGACCTGACCCTGAGCTCCCAGCTCTGCCCTCCCGACCCTCCCCGCCTAAGTGCTAGCCAGGCCAGCCGTGTGACTCGGGTGTCTCTCTGCCCATCTCTCCCTGGCCGCCTCAGATTACTCCTGTGCCTTGCAGCGTGAGATCCTCCTCCAGGGCCGCCTCTATCTTTCCGAGAACTGGATCTGTTTTTACAGCAACATCTTCCGCTGGGAGACAACAGTAAGCCAACACAGGGATGAGAAGGGGCCTCAGGACAGGGAGGGCTCTGGCCCCTTCTAACGCACCTGTCCTTCTAGATTTCCATCCAGTTGAAGGAAGTGACATGTCTGAAGAAGGAAAAGACAGCCAAGCTGATCCCCAATGCCATCCAGATCTGCACAGAGAGCGAGAAGGTGAGTGAGAGGACCTGCTGGCAAGGCTATGTGGTCACTGATCTTAGCCGGCTCCTCCCTTCTCCCACCACCAACGCCCTGTATTTTCTGCACCCTGATCTGTGCTCGGTCTGTGGCTTTCTCTTTGTTCTTCCTGCCCCTGCCCTGGCCGAGGCTCCCATCATCTCTGACTGGATCTCTGCACCAGCCTCCTACTTCCTTAGTCCCTGCAGTCCATCCCCTCATACAGCTGCTGAGACAGGATTAATGGTAAAATTCTCCCCCCATGTATCTGCAGCTCAGATGTCCTCTCTCCTTGTAAGCCTTCCCTGACACTCCATTCTGTCCTCACGATCTTGCCTCATGGCCCCAAGATGGCTGCCTCACACCCATGGCCCAGACAGGAAAGGAAAAAAATGTGGCCGGGATACACACACACACACACACACACGCTTCACAGCAGAATTCCCTTTGTGTTTTATTGGCCAAAAAAAGATGAGCTGACCACCCTACTGGGCAAAGGCGGCTGGGAAAGTACCCTGGGCTCCTCCCCCTCACAGCCCGATCACTCAGGACTGACCCCATCTGGAAATGTGCCTGTCTCCTGCCATGGACCGTGAGCTCTGGGGATGGGGGCAGCGTTCGGCCCAGGGACCATCTCCTCATCATAGTGACTCCAGCGTCCATTGCCGAGTCGGGCACAGGATAAACATCCTGTGGAATGAAGGAAGGAATGAATGGGTGGATGTACATCAGGGTGGAGATCAGGAACGGAGCTGGATGGGGATGGAGCGCCCCTCCATCCTTCCGTGTCTTTCCCACACTCCATCTCTCTCCTGCAGCATTTCTTCACCTCGTTCGGGGCCCGGGACCGCTGCTTCCTGCTCATTTTCCGCCTCTGGCAGAATGCACTGCTTGAAAAGGTGGGCCTGGATGAGGCCTGGGTGGGGAGTGGGGAGACTTACAGGTGGGCCAGGGGGACCATGGAGCCAGGGGTGCCAGAACTGCAGGACCACTCAGCTTTTCTCCATGAGTATCTGGCCCCACATATTGGCAGCTTCCTCGATAGGCACCATGAGGGGCCACCATGGGCTCTAGCACCAGACCTTGCTCACTAGAAATATGCATCCATGGCCCCTTATTCACCGTGGCAGCAAAATCTGATCTGAGCTAATAATGTGGTCATCATCCTGTGTGTCAGCACTGCATACTCGAACTTTCTGCTACGATGGAAGTGTTCTCTGTCTGTGCTGCCCAGTAGGGTAGCCGCTGGCCAAGAGTCTGTTGAACTCTTGAAAAGTAGCCAGTGTGATTGAGGATGTGCACTTTTAATTAATTTAAATGTAAGTGGTCATGCATGCCTATTGCCTAGCACAGGTCTAACTCTCACTATGACTATTCATGTGTTTCAGGACAAAAAGTTATTACTGTGCATGACTGGAGTACAGCTTAGATGTGATCAATATAAAGTTATAGTGTCCAATATAGAATCTGCCAGTGACTCAAGCTTTATAATTTCAGAACCCTTTACACTCATTAAAATAATTGTAGACTCCAAGAACGTTTGTGTGAGTAGGTTATACCTAGTGATATTTACTATATTAGAAATTGAAATGGGACGTTTTTAAGCACAAGAATACACAAGCACGCATTGCATTAGCCACCAGAAAAATGACAGCATGGCCTGTCATAGCCTTTGGAAAAGTCCATTGTATACTCATGAGAAAATAAAAGTGAAAAGATCCGTAATATCTTATAATACTAGTAATACTTATTATACTTGTGAAATAATTTTGACCTCATGAACCCCCGGAAAGGGCTCAGGGGACCCCCAGAAATCTTTGGGCCACACTTTGAGAACCTCTGACATACACTGCACTGGATATTAAATATACTAGTTTTTATCATGGGCACTATACTATTATTCTTAAATCCCAAATCTTAATTTTGAATCATATCTTGCCCCAAAGGTTTTGAATTAGGGACTTTAAATTTTTACTTACTGCAATCGGATAGCCCATTGAGTGCTAGCTGAGCCGGCTCTCCTGGAATGCCCACTGTGGTTGCATAGGTTTACATAGGATGCATTTGGCTGCAAGTGACTGAAATGCCAACCAAACAATGGTTTAAGAAACAGATACTGGATTATTTCATAAGGTAATAATAGCTAACACTTCTGGTGCTACTAAGTGCCAGGCACTGATCTGAGCATTACATGAATTAACTCATTTAGTCTTCAAACCACCCTATGAGGCAGTATGGGTTATTACCTTTACTTCACCAGGGGGCATGGAGGGATACACTTGCCCCTGGTCACGTGGGCTTTTATGTGACAGGTTCTGGACTCCACTCATCCACTGCGTCACCTAATGCTCATGTAATGACAGGTCTGGAGGCAGGTGGCCCAGGGTGGGTGTGAAGGCTTCCCTATGTTATCAGGATCCCAAACTCTTGTCCATTTTTCCATACTCTCATCCTCTGCGTGTTAATGTTTTGTTCACATGCTTGTTGCCTCGTGGTTACAAAGTGGCTGCTACAGCTCCAGGCATCATGCCCTCACATAAGTGTCCTAAGCATGAAGGAGGAAAGGGGTGAATAGAAAGTGGAATTTCCTTTATCAGGCAGGAAAGCCTCCTTCAGCAGATTTCTCTTTCTATTTCTTTAGCTAGAACTGGGTCACATGACTGCCTTCAGTTGCAAAGGAAGCTGGGTTTGTGGCAAAGGAAAGATGAATTGGCTGGAGAAGGTTTTCACCCCAAACAAATCAGAGTTCTGCTGGCAGGGAGGGAGGGTGGCTAGGTGTCAGGTTGGCATGGCTCATGGTCTGCTGCTGCTGGCTATAGCTCCTTGAAGGCCCAGACCCGCTCCTCTAGCAGTGCTGAGCTCACACCTGTCCTCTCAGAGGCAGCTCCAGCCACTAGGGGCAAGCATGCTGGGGCAGGGGCTCAAGATGGGGGACAGCACAGTGTCAAAGTCTGTAAGAAGGGGAGGACAGAGGAGGGTTCCAAGCTCAGGCCCCGAAGCCAGATTGCCAGGGTTGGAGTTCCAGCCCCATCACTGAGGAGCTGAGGGACCTGGATAAGTCACTAAACCCCATCGGTGAAAGGAATACTGTCCCTACTTCATAGCAGCCAGAGTTGGGCTCAGTGTCATCTCTTATGGGGCAGGGTTGCCGAGTGGTTAGCTCAGGGTGCTAGACCAGCCCCTGGGATCACATCTCAGCACTGCCACTTGGGCACCTCTGTGCCTCAGAGTCATTGTCTTAAAACGACGATTAATGCACCAACTTTACAGAATTGTTTTAAAGACTCAGTAAGTTAACTCGTGTGAAGGAATGGGAATGCCTGGCATATGGTTACAACTCAGTGAGTGCTGCTGCTGCTATCATTATTACTGTTACTACTGTTTTGTTATTGTCATCTACCCCTTCTGGCCATGGGTAGCTGAAAGGCCAGGGCTCCTGAGGACACTGGAGAAATGGGTGGGGGCAGGACAGCATGGGGGGTTGGAGCAGAGGTTCTGGAGCCTGGCTGGGTTTGAATCCCTGACCTCGTGCGCATGACTTCTCCTCCCTGGGCCTTGTATTCTCCTCTGTAAACTGGGACCCTTGACCTGTAGCTATGTGAGTATTGTGAAAACTGAGGGGAAAGTCCTGGGCATACTGACTCCTCCTTCCCAGGGCTGCCTTGGGGCTGAGATCTAGGATGGGAGACCATGCTGCCCCGTGTGGGCACTGGGGGAACTGCTGAGGCTGGTGGAGACGGGTGGGAAGGGCTCTGGCCTGGGAGAGGTGGAGGCCAGCCCCCTTACGTCCTGCCTGCCCAGACGCTGAGTCCCCGCGAGCTCTGGCACCTGGTGCATCAGTGCTACGGCTCAGAGCTGGGCCTCACCAGCGAGGATGAGGACTATGTCTGCCCCTTGCAGCTGAATGGTCTGGGGTGAGTCAAAGGTTGACAATTGGTTCCGGGGTTGGGGGAGACAGGAGGGGCTGCGTGCAGAGCTCCTGGACTCCTGGGTGGACTGAGGTGGGTGTATGGGGCTCAGGGATACAGTGACCTCATCCCCTCCCTTTCATTGCAGGAGCCCCAAGGAAGTAGGAGATGTGATTGCCCTAAGTGACATCACCCCCTCAGGGGCAGCCGACCACAGCCAGGAGCCAAGCCCAGTGGGTTTGCGCCGTGGTTACATCACCCCCAACCTTTCCCGAGCCAGCAGTGATGCAGACCATGGGGTGAGCAGGAGGGTGAAAGAGAGAGGAGGGCGCTGAGGGGAAGAGACAGGCGAAGGCTAGAGGTGGTGTTGGGGAGAGGGACAGGCTAGGGGAAAAGGAGGCATGGTCAGAGGGACAGAGAAGTGGATGGAGAGATAAGAGGGGATGGATGGAAAGATAGGATGGAGCTTGGGAGTGGGCAAGGAAACTAGGGGCAGGCAAAGGAGAGACAGACTGATGGAAAGAGGGAGAGACAGAAGAAGCAAAAGAGGG